GAATTACCTGCTCCAGAGTCCACTTATGACTTATGCATGTGAGTGAGCAGTCAGTCTACTTCTTGGAATGGTGCTTTGGTTCATTTTAGAGACTGAGTGGCCCACACAGCTTTTTTTTCTTCTCAGGAAGTGTTGTAAGTGCTGTACTGGATTGGCCTTGTCCATGTGCCCATCTAGAAGACACAACGGAGCAATTGCTTAACGATCTGCTCATAGGGGAATATCCTATCCCTAATCGTTAGCATTTAGCCCAGAACATGGAGGATTTTAAGCCTTTCAAAACTGTAATAATTGCTGTTATAAGTATGTGTGGTTCTCCACAGAACCCCAGAGTCCTGATAAGTTTTTTATTTCAGTGACGCGTACGTTCTTCAAGCTGTTCAATATTTTGCATGTTGCCCTCACAAAGTGTGATAAGAAAGGAAATAGTAACTTTATATTTGTTTGCTTGCTTTTGTTTTTAAGGGAGGGGCAGGATTTCTTTTGTTCTTGAAGCTAACAGTCCAGTTATTAGAAGCCCTGTACCTTAGTTCCTGCTGCCATGGCATTTGTCCTTTCTTTCTCTGCCCAACCCAGCTCTTCTTTTCCCATGTCTCTTCTTTTTCACCAGTTCCAGTGGTACCTGGCTCCTCTTTGCAGCTTGTATATATTCTCACATCGATGCTTGTGTATGTCTGTGTCGTTCTCTTCCTTTTTCTGATTCTGTTGCTTCTTGCTCTCTTCTTCTTTGCCAGATGTCCAATTTTACCCTCTTATTATTCCTTTTGTCACCATTGCTTTCTTGTCATTGTTGGGTGACAGATGACAGGCTTGCTTTTTATTCCTCATTGTAAATTATTATATGTTCTTGAGTTGAATAATAAGTGCTGAAAACTCTGTTATTCTTTTTAAGCCTGTCCTGAAACTAAATACCTGTCATTTAGCTACACTATTGTGGGATTCAGTGCAATATGTGTATGTTAGGGACGGTCCTGTAACTTTTTAAAATATGTTAAAGATTGGATTGTAGTTATACAGATTAATTGTGGTGGTTCCTGATGACCAGACGCTCTGAATGGAGTCCATAGCAGTTCTGTTTGGTTTTGTAGGGAAACACTCTCGTGGAAACCATGGCAGAAGGCACAGAGGAGCCAGTGACCCTCTGTCATGACTGGCACCTTTTACTTTATATGTGGTAGGATGAACCATCTTTTCCTTCTTTATGTTTGTGAAGACTTGTGAAGACTCGAGGTACCATTTTATTCTCTTCTCTGGTACCTATATTTGCAAGTTTTACCATTGCTCTGGTGGATCTAAAGCAAACACCTGATTAGTAGACATTGTGCCCAATCTGTAAGTGTGTGCTGTGTGAGCAGATCGCCGCAGCAATTGTGATTTTATAAATTCATTATTGTCTGAGCCACCTCAGGAGCTGAAATTGCTGAACCCTAGATTTCCCTCAGGGCCCTGAATGGTTTGGGGGTTTGGTAATGGGATACAGGTCATTAGTTCAAATCTTGAGCAGGTTAGTGGTGTTTGAAAGCTGTTAGTCTCTGGTTCCTTGTGGACTGGCTTTTGTGTTTGCCAGAGCTCTCATCCACCAGCTTCCTTCCTCTGGTTTTCAGGGAGAGGGAAAAACTTGCATTTTAGTTCTATCCCTGTGGATTTCCTGTCCCTGTCCTTGCTCATCTTACCTCTGCAAAACACAATTTATTATCCTGAGAGGGAATAACTTGCATTTTAGTTCTATCACTGTGGATTTCCTGTCCCTGTCCTTGCTCATCTTACCTCTGCAAAACACAATTTATTATCTAAATAAGTAAGATGAGCTACTTTTTTTTTTAAAATACTTTTCTCCCTGGTGTGGACTGTGTGTCTCTCTCTGTCAATAAAGCACCTGACATATTGTGACCATCTTAGCAGCAAAGAACAGGAAAAAATACAGTGAATAGCAATCACTTTTCCTTCTGCTTGTGGGGCAAGAAGACTAGTCTGCTCTTGAGTGACCCGGGTAGCCATCAAAGCCTGAGCAAGTACAAGTTTCTGCCCCAATAATGTCTTAAGATTGGAGTAATAAGGGAAAGCAATGTTTATACATTACTTTATGATAAACTTCACACTACGTGCCCACTACATGCTGAGGCAAGAGTGAGGGAGGGGAAAAAAACCCAGCTGAAATTCCTGGGTTTGTCTCCCAGGACAAGCAATGTTTTTCTGATGAAAATAGTGTATTCAGTACTTTAGATATGTTGCCTCCCTCCAGCATAAACTTTCACACATATCTAAAATGAATGTTGATTACAAAGATTTACATGCTACAGCCTAGGTTCCTCCCAGAACTGGTTGTGTGTGCAGTAGGGTTGAATTAATGAGCACGAAACCCGTCTTAGATCATGGTTGAACATTCTTTGAACACCAAAAAGGGAGCTAATAGAGCCTTCTGCAAAGGTGGCTCTTTCACACATGCCCCTCTTTTGCTGTGACCTTTTAGGCTATTGAACATCCTGTCTACTTCTTTCCAAGTTGCGTGAGAGAATAGTCTGCCTGCGTTCTCTTGCAGAAATAACTGTTTTGTTTGTAACCACAACCAACTTACTCAGATTCTACATTTAGCTCATGCGCTGAAAGTGTCAGATTGTTGTCATAGGCTGCTTATCAGAAACGGTTCAGTGGTCTCTTGGATTCTTTCCAGAGAGAGAAAACCATCTCCCAGAAAATAAAATTGTAAACGAAGATCCTGAGACCCTAGGGTGACAACACTATATACTTTTATTTAGGCTGGGGACCTGTAGGATCCCTTGTAGAGGACACATCCACACCTTCTCACAGAAGGAGATCGTGCAAAAGGATTTGGAATACGGGACATAAGAGCAGACAGTAAAGATATAATGGGCCTTAAAGCAGATAAATCCGTGAAAGAGTAGTGGAAATTAAAATAAATGTAAGTCAATTAAAATACAATTGTATTTTATAAATATTTTGAAGACCAGATTTGGAGTTTTCTTTTAACAACTTTTGAGCACAATTGTAAGTATCAGCCCCGTTCTCAAGGCTGTGAGTATTTGAAATTCAAAGGAGCTGTGTTCTTTGGTGTGCTTTTTTTTTTAAAAAAAAATCTCAGTTAAGGCTAAATAGTTTATTTACTCTGCAGAGATAATCACTGTGATATCTAGATGCCGCAAGAATGACTTCATGGTATATGTTAAGTGTGAATGGCAGAGACTAAACCCTTGCTCTAGATTGTATATTTCAATCCTGAAATGCTCAATGCTATTATTTGTCCTTTAGAAGCAGGTAGAGCAACATTTGTATAGTTCATTACATGTTCATCTTTCAACTAAATCTGGAAAGCTGAAGCTTGTATGTGTTGCTTCATTAAGAAAAGCAGAAGAGAGGGATATTTTCTAAAATCTTGGGGTAAAACATCACTCTTTGATCTCTCTCCGTGTTCTGTTCCTCAGCTCCACTGGTTGCTGTGTAAGTACCAGTATTTAATTGGTGTTTGAAGCAGTTCCTCAGTTCTGCTTTAGTTATATTGATAACAATGCACATGTTTGAAAGAGCAGCGTACAGATATGGATAAGGCTTGTGGGTAATCTGGAAGTTTAAATTCCTTCCAGTCCTACTGAAATACTCAGTGCCAGCCTTAGAAACCAGCTGGGGAGAACTAACTGGGTTTAGAGAGACACATTCAAGCCTGGTTTTGGGGCAGTGGTAGGAGGGAGAGACTGGTCTGTGCCAGGTATCAAATGAGCAACAACTGCTCAACACTGTTAGCCCTTCAGCTCCCTTTTCTGGAGGAGAATAAGGTGTGTTAACCTGGTGCTGCTGAGAAAAGTATCGGAGATCAGCTGTGGTCTCTGTCAGACTTGCCCTCCACTTCTTGTTCCAGTCCTTGGGACTGGAGAGGATCTAACTCATGGCTGGCACGGCAGGATGGCCACCTTCTACTGGCTCTGAGAGGGGATCCTGGGGGAGATCAGAGGTTCCTGCCTGGCAGAGCCTTGAAGAGAGGTGGCCCAGGCGGGAGAGGACTTCTTGTTTTACCATATTGAGTATGTTCCAGGTGTGGCACTCTCAGGTGGTATCCTGTCAAAGTAATTCCTTTAACAGCTCTCATTACTTGATTATACTCATATTTGTGCCTAAAGTGACTTGTTTCTGGAGAGAATTTTTTTTTTTATTTCCTTCTAAGGTGCCTGTGGATGAGTTTAGTTCATGTTGTTCTTTGTGGAATCTTAACATGAGATGTTCTGTGCTATCCAATAGCACAAACACGTTCACAATGGAAGGAAGGTCGCAGTGCTCAGTCTGTTATGCACCACCTACTCAAAACAATACACGCCAGAGAGGGATTAAAAAAGTGATCCAGCACCAATGAACCAGATGACTGAGAGTCCTCCTGCCAGTCTGAAGGATGGAGGCAAGATTTGGGACTGGTGGTAAAATGGAACAAGGTCCTGACAGGAGGCAGGATCAACACCCAGCTTTTGGGCAAAAAGCAATGGGACTCCTGCCAGGTTATGCTACTGAAATGTCAGCAGTTGTGATCGGTACCAGGAACATAGATCTTTGTATTTACTTTATAGTGCCCTTGTCTCCAAGCATTCTTACTGCATGAATAGAGAGAATCCCTGGTCGATACTGAAGAATGTTCACAAAACACCTGCCAATTTTCTTAGCCAGTTCTAAGAGCTGTGAGATCACTTGAGATCTGTTTTTCTTGGACAAGATTGTGATCAATAGTAGCAGTTGTGGCTGAATCAATCCCTGGCCATCAGCTCTGTCATGCTTCTGATTTGAAATGTTGTTCTTGCAATCAAATGGCCAAAAAAAGTTCTATTTCAAACAAATGTCTGTACTTCATTATTTCTATGCTTTACAAATTTCTGCACCTACAAATCTGAAAGCGTCTGCAATTCCTTGGGTTTGGTTTTTTTTTTTTTTTTTTCTGCTTGCTGCATCCTTTCTGTCCTGTTCAGTTCCTTCTGTGCTGTAACTATTTGTGTCCTTCCTTTTAGGATTCAGAAGGAGGTCTCTATGTGTGCATGAACACGTTTCTGGGATTTGGAAGGGAACACATTGAAAGGCATTACCGGAAAACAGGACAGTGTGTATATTTGCATCTGAAACGACATGTGATAGAGGTGAGATTTGTGGCTTCCCAACTAACTACCCCAGCAGTTCTTGGGTCTCTTGTGCTCGTTTCTGTAACATGTTCCAGACATAGAGCAAACCCTGAATGACAGAAATGAACACGTTAAGATTTGGGGCTGGATATCAAATTTAGGTGCTTGGATCCCAAGCAGTCCTATAGCTTCATTCTGAGATGAATCAAAAGCCCTAAAGAGTCAGATTTTAAAGGCACCTTGTTGCCTGATTTTAGGTGATCTTTTTCACTACATGCCTTTGTGTATCACATGCATATCGTCTGCATGTTACGTGCATGTGGTTTGTCTGGCACCTTTAAAGGGCTGTTAATGAATTCTGACCTGGGCTTTAGGGAAGGTGCCAGGTTTGCTTATAGCTCACTCTCCTGTAAGCTCTGTCTCTTTTGGCAAGATAGAGGGCCTAAAATAGCTGCTTGGAGCTGGATAGAATACTTCACGTTTCTCATTCTGCAGCAATGTTTCCCCTGGGTGATGAAGGCCCCAAGTTATGTGAAGTGTCCTGGCCACGTATTTTATTTCCAGTAGATGACTATCCATTTTTTATTGAATTATAGTGAGGTGGGTTGCATGTTTCCCAGGCTGAGATTGTTAGTGATGTTTGTTATACTTTACAATTGTCCATCCTTGTTAGGCCTATAGTAATGGTTTCCTTCATGCAGTAACTGAGGCTTTGGAGACCTGAGTCTAGTTTTAGCAACAGCTCTTCTGAGTGAATTTAACACTCCTGAAAGATGATATCTAGGACCAGAGACCGGTGGGCAGAAATCCTGTCAGCTTTCCTTGTATATAACTATCTTCCAGCATGTGACCTGGGAATTTTCAATATTAAAGTAAACCGGCATTAAAATGAGGCCTCAAAAATTCCTTTCCTGGATAAAGATTAGGCTGAAGAACTCCAAAGGGGAGAAACAAATCTATTGCCTGTTGCTTGGTGTTGCATGCCCCTTCACTTCCAACTAGTTCAGTGGTTCCAATTTTTCTTCTTGTGGATCATGATGTAGCAGAGGGGCCCGGGATCTCCATTGGAAGGTGGTGACGCACTGGTGCACTGGGTGATGTGGCAGGAAACAGTGTTAGTCTCTACAGTCCAGGTGAAGATTGTGTTGTCCAACGTGGCTCATAGATAGGATTCCTCATGGAGGATTTTGTTTACCATGACTGTTGGCTTCTTACGTGCTCTCCATGGTTTCCTTAGAGCCTTGAGAAACATCGGCCTTCACTGGAACAGTTTTATGAAGTGTCTGGCACACACTGCATTGTGGCTTTGGTTTTTTAAGCCAAGCTTTTGATGGGGTGGGATACAGTAAAGCCAAAGGCAATGGACATGCTATCTTAAGATTCTTTTAGTAAGGTTGCTATTCTTGCCTGTGGTTCCCTTGGCATCATCCTTGCAGAATGCACTGCATTGCTGCAAAATCCCTGTTTGCTTCCGATGGTGTTTGGAGTAAATATGTCATTTATCTTGTCACAATTCAATTAGAAAATACAGGTCAGATCTTCAACCTCATGAAGAAAATAAGTTTTTTTTTCTTTTCCCTAGAATTTCACTCTTCAGAATTTTTAAATCGGCCACCTTCTAGTAGTGTATGAGTCACATAAAACTGCCTGGGTAGTCTTCAGCCCGGGCAGAGCTTTGGTGCTACAGTGATACCTCAGCCCTGCTGAAAATACTGGACAGAGGAGCATGAAGTGTCCTGCAGTGATGGGGTTTTGGATATTATTCAGTAATGGTGCTGTTAGAAAAAAATCAGCAATGGTGCAGTTAAAGAGAGCACAGAATTGGCTACACTGACACCTCGTACAAGAAGCATCACAAACGGAATTTAATGCCACTGGTGATGCATTGTGTAGAGTCCCATTTGCTGGGTGTCATATCTGTTAGAAACCAAACTTGTTTTGTGGATGGGAAACATTTTCAGTGACTTCTGACGGGTGGAGAAACAAGGTAAAAAACCTGTCAGGTTCTGGGTTTCCTGGGATTATTGAGCATCTGCAATTGCAGTTCAGATGGATTTAGCGGAGAGGAAAATGAAGCTGAAATTTTTAATATCAGGCTGACAGTAATAAACACTCCATGTGAATTCTTCCTCTTTGAAATATCTACTCTTAATGACTTTCACAATGTCGCACGTGGTGACATCAGAATTGGAGCTTCCTAGTACTGAAAACAACCTCTTTTTTTAAAAAAGTTCTGAAGCTATAATCCTTGGACTATGTGCGATTTATTCATAATATATCTGTAATTGAGTTACGTTGTATCTTTACTGCTTTTTAAAAATAGATTTGTATTCTTGATCACTTCCTTTCCACTTGTTAAATTCCAGTAGAATTAAGGAAAAAAAGTGTTCTGCTTGTTTTTTTTCACTTCATTGAGGATATTTATTTTATTTTTATTTTTTTTTAGTGCTGGAGTTGCAAGCCTGGCTCTCCCTAGGGCTCGTATATATGGATAGTAAGTTCTGTTCTTAAGTGCAGCCAAAGAGTGTTGGCATCTGCTCTTTCTAAGAATGGAAAACTTTCCTATGATGTATAAGACCTCTGTGATGATTCAAGCAGTCTGCTTTGGCCAGAGCTTTATTTACATGGTGAAGGGAACCACCCAAAATATGTGACCCTTTCATTTACCAGGGAGCAGAGGCAAACATGAACTTTCCCTGGGCTGACAGGTTCTTGGCTGGTTTCTCTCCACCTGTTGTATCCCAATATTATTATTAAAGAAAAGGTGCCTAACAACCTCACCAGTTACACTAACATCATACACGTTGGCATTATAGCCCCAGAGGCTGATTTGATTTAATTTGATTTGATTTAATGGTGCCTGTTAAAAAACAGTTTAAGAAGCAAGTGTGTTGATGTTTACATTTCCTCAGCTACTAGAGTTTTCTCTAAGTAGTGTGAGGTAATTTGAACTGGAAAAGTTAAACAGTTTAAGAAGCAAGTGCGTTGATGTTTACATTTCCTCAGCTACCAGATTTTTCTCTAGTAGTGTGAGGTAATTTGAACTGGAAAAGTAGAGTTTTAAACTGAATGTCACTTGGAAGTTGTTGCTCTCTGCTGTGGAGCTTAAATTGAAAAATAAAATAAAATCCCCCCTAAACAATTGCTTGGGTGTTATCAGGTTTCTTCCACGCTGGATTGATCTTTATGGAAGCAGGCATGGATCCTGATGGAAAGGGCAATTTTTTTCTGGATATAAGAAAATTAGCTGAACTAACAGATCACAGCAAAGTGGTCATACTAGAATTAGTTATGAAGATTGAATCTTTTATGCTGATTTCTTCCCCTCTCTAATTCAGCTTTAGTCATGAAGAAATACTGTAGGGCATCTAGTGGTAAGAGGTCTGACCGATGCTGGATGTCCCTGTTTTGTTGACAGAACAGCAGTCGGTCACGGTGACCACAAGACATAGCCTGCTTAATTGCTAACAACAAATTTTAAAGGACTCAGGTGGTGGCTTTCTCACTCCATGAGGGTCGTAAGCAGTGATGAGTTGAGCCCTATCATCAGAGGTGAATTCTTACATTACATTCTTGCTCAGCAAGGACTGTGATTTAATAGAAGGACCAAGAAGATAGGTGTGTGTTAGAAATGGTGATGCTATGGGCTTATTGCTGATTTACTGTTGTCTCACTTGATGGATTTTTAATTGTTTCTTTCTTTCTTTCCAGAAGGTACCAGGGGCATCTGGTGGAGCTTTACCCAAAAGGAGGAATGCTAAGCTATTTTTAGGTATTGTGAACAGCTGCTTTCACAGAGTCCTTTTCTGACCCTGTCTGCATGTGTACTTGGGTTCTGTCCACCATTGTGTCTGCCTTTGGGGCTCCTTCTTTATTTTTCTGTTGGGTTATTTTTTTTTTTAAACATTTAGTTCTAGTTTTTAAAGTTGGTCCAGACAAATAAGTAATTCTTAGCAATTTTGGTGTATATTGAGAGATACGTGTATGTATACTTGAAACATTTTAATCTAAAGTAGGCCCTCAACTATTCTCAAACAGCCTAGGATTTGATAGGCATTTTTTGACTTATTCTATCCCTTCTTTATCTTTGTGATTTCCACAAAGCACCTTTTCATTAAAATGTTTATCTATACTTAATGTTTAGATGTAACAGGGCCTTGGTGTGGCCCAGCCTCTGGTCATAGAAAGGGTTGTTAGAATTTCAAAGTTGTTACACCGATAAATGTTCTTAAGTGATGTTGTGGTCTGTTCTGTAATGAATGCAACAGAACATATGTCATGAGTGTCTCTTACCAATTCTTACTCTGTTACAACCACAGTTATATCCCCTTACTTAACGGAAAGCAGTTTTCTTACCACGTCCATTCCATCCAATATCCATTGATTCAGATTATCCAGAAAACCTGAGGGCCTCATAAATATGGATGAGGGGAACATGATGCAAAGCCTATATTCTCCCTCCTCCCACCACTTGTGATATTTCTCTGATTCATCTATTATTTATTCTCTCTGTATTAATAGCAAATAGTGAATTTTTCTTCTGGTAATGAAGAGGTTAAATGTGTTCTTTACAATTGCCAGCTCTTATGGCTAAAAGGAAACAATAGCATGGCCTCCCTTTGGAATTGCTTTGATCTGTGGAATGTGTCCCTGAGAGGCCTTTGCAGATTGTGATCGATTAAATTGTTGTTTTTAATGTCTGTAGTAAGTTTTGCAAGGAGGGCTCAGAGAGAAAAAAGTCTTAAAATGGGTCATAAAGAAATGAAACGTCTCTTCAAGGAGGAGACTCTTAAGTCACAGATGCTGGTCTAAATGCCATTTACTGTCAGTTTGTATTGAAAATAATGTTTGTCACTGGATACTTGTGAAATAATTGGTTCAGAAACAAAGCTGGCTGCAGTGCAGCGATGGCTGTACGGTGTTAGCAGTGTGAGTGTAAACAAGAAGTACAAAAGCGCGGTCAGATTTTATTCTTGCTGATGTCCTGCTACGCTTTGAGGCTCCTGTGGTGGTGGTATGGCAGCACACAGTGTACGCTGCAGAGCGTCCCTCATGTGCAGCGTTGGAGTCCTCAAATTCCATCCTTGCACATGAGCATTTTGTTCCTACGGAGTGGATCTGGTGAGGCAGTTCCAAGTGTCCTGGTCCCAAGGAGCTTCTGAAGGCAGTGCAGTTTCACTGTGGTGGATTTAGCACATGGAACTATCACCATTTAATTCAGCACTTCTGAAATCTAATGCACTTTTGAAAAATACATCTCATCTGGTCTGTTGTTCTGCTGCAATCCTCTTTGCAGCCCCTGCTGGTTGGGAGTAAAATGGTGTCAACTCTCTGCTCTGATCCTTGAGATAGTACTTCCAAGCATCCGACTGCTTTGTATCCACTTCTTTGTCTCAGCAGATCTTATTCTTTTTTTTGGCCATGCTTAAAGAACAAAGAATTGTTCCTGTCCTTATTCATAGCTGAGGAAACGAAAGCACAGAGATGTCAGCCGATTTGGTAATTTTGCATGAGACAGCAGCAGAGATGGTTAGCAGAATTTGGCATCTCATCTCTTCGTCCAACGTCTTCCTCATTGGTTTGGAGCTGCTGGCCTTCTTAATAGGTTCTTTTAGTTCTGGCTTTCTCATTGTGACCTTGGGCAGCTATGGTAGAGATCTGCACCAAAAGGGCTGTTAACCAGTAACCTGCCATTCAGGGCTTACCCTGCCAGACAGGCATAGACAGTGATCAATGGGTGACTCTAACATCGCTGTGTTTCTAGGTGTCTTTGAATAATTCCCTGAAGGCCCAGAGATTTAAGCTTTGTGTACAAAGTCAATCCAGTTTGGGCATTTGTTACATTGCTTCTTATAATCCTCTTTGATGTAAAGCTATTAAAGATACTAAACCCTTTTCAAATCTGCTTAGTATTAGGAAAACATCTTTTGGATGCTCACTGATTACTTTCTAGGACTGCTGCTATCCAGCAAATGCACTAGAAACACAGACTGGTTGGGGCAGTCAGCTGGAAGCATGAACATTAAGAGATCCATAGCAAAGTGTGTGTGCGTGTGCATTAGATTCTGGGCTCATTTTTTTCTTCTTTTGGAGAGGGCTGTGAGCTCTGTAATCAAGAAGCATAATAACACAGTGCAGTGAAATGTGTGAACTGCCTTTAATCCCAATTGTTTAGATGTTGCCAGGCAGTGTGGTTATGATCACTTCAGCTCAGGCTGTGTGAGCTTTCAGGGGATTTGGGGTGATAGTTAAAGTATCTCAATGCATGGAGTAATATCCTCACTGCATTGTTATCTAGGCTGGCAAGTTTGAAGGTACTTTGTGCTTGCCAACATGTGTGGCTATCACACAAAGAAGTTCCAGATCCTGTCTGTAAAAGGGAAAAAAATTAACTGATGGGACAAGGTGGTAGCTCCCCTTGACTTCAGATAAGAAACAGCTGTGCTGTTGTCTTCAGTATGCAACCTCTTGTTTAAATCAGCCACAATGGGATAAGTGTGATATCTGTTTTGGAGAAAAAAAAAAAAAAGATGTGATGGGACCAGGAAAAGTATTGTCACTAAATTTAATTTTCATATTAGCCCATCTGGAAAAAAAAACCTGAATCAGAACTGTTAGAAAGGCATATAAAAATGACAGAACAGAGAAGAACGTTTAGGGATTTTCCAAAGTGAAGTAATGGTTCTGGGTCTGCCACAATACTCTGGGACTATCTGTTGTAGTCTCCCTGTGTGTTCAGTGACTACGTGAATAAGAGCAGTTCCATTAACAGGATCTACTGTGATTTTCCTTAAAAGATCCTGGTCGAAAGGGGTGGTAGAATAAGGGGCAAGATCCTTGTATTAAAGGGATTGGAGGCCTAGTTCTTACAGAAGAGTTACCAGCAGAGTCCCCCTGGACCTGTTACTCCCAGGAGTTATCAGCAGAGTCCTTCATAATGTTCTAATTATGAAGAATTAATGCAATTTGTAAATGGTCTGGAAAGGGACTGAAAAATGGGGAAATAGATTTTGCTGGGTGATTTAAAATCATCTAAGAGATTAAATCTAGAAGCGATTTTTAATGTGTTACTGAGTAACTAAACAATAGATGAAGTAAATGTTGAAAGATTCGAAGACAAGAAGTGTTTAACTGTGTGTGTACAGTGATGGGGTCTGAATGAACTATTTCTGTTCAGAAAGGTTTTTCTGCAAGAGCAATGGTGTGAATGGTTCTCTGAAAATGTCAGCTTCGTTGTCAGCGGCGGTGAAAGACTCAGGTGGAACATCAGGAGTAGAGAAACATTTTGTATTCTGTTCTCTATTTATTATTTTGCTTTATCAATAAGAAGTGAATCTCTCTCTTGAACAAAGAAAGCTGGGTGCAGTCTCACCAAAATGTCTCTCTCCAAAATCAACCAGAAAAACACCCACCCACCACCCCCACCCCAGCAAACAAAAAAACCCCAGAGAGATATCTGGAAGCGTGAAGGTATACACTGAGGGAGGAATCACCACAGTTTTGCCTTGTTCTGGTATCCTCTTCCTGGGCATCTGTTGGTCCATGCCAGAGCCTGGACTCCAGGCTAAACAGAGCTGGCAGGGTGGCTGTCATAAAACAGATGTCCCCTTCCAGATCAGTTACCAAGTCAGCAGCAAGTCCTGGGAGCTCTGTTTTGAGCAAAGTCAGGGCTAACTTCGCCCGTCAATTAAGTGCTTTGGAGTACTCAAATGAACAGCTCTGTCAGCAGATCTGTGGGGATGGTAATTGCTGGTGAGGAGAGTGTCAGTGAGGAGCAGTATCCATGACACACAGCTGGTCTCGGAGAAGGACTCGGAAATAAGTGAAAACTTCCACTGGGTGAACATGTAAATTTGTTGGGGTTTTCCTGGATGGCACCTGCCTGCCTAGAGCCGTGAATGCTCGTACAGCTACCATTTCCAAGGGTAAAGGCCACTCATAAGAGTGGCTGTACACAGCCCCACTTAGCTCCCCTAGATTTCACAGCAGCCAGTAGCAAACTCTGTTTTCAGTAAGGGTGTTTTTGTTTGAGAAGCCTCCGAAGAGGACTTTTATCACAAGTGGTTTAAGTTTATATTTATGTAAGTAAGTATACAGAGTATGTATCTGTGAGTGCAAAGTTGTGATTTAAGAGGATTTGAGCATTTTCTGACAATATATTTAAATTTTAGCCCAGTGAAGCTGTGCATAACCCCCCAAAGTAGCAGTGGAACTGGTTATACCATGAGTTGAACCTGTTGCTTTCCAGCTTTGCCATCTAAGGTTGAGTTGAGTGCAGAATGGTGAGCAGATACCTTACACTAAGAATCTTAATAGTTAGCTGGTTTAGGCAGAACTATGGAAATTGGGCTAGATTAACAAGGGCTAATGCTGCTAGTGAAATAGTTAAGGATTTGAATTTTGGTGGTTTAGCTTTGCTTGTTTAACACATGACTGTGCCAGAAGCCCAAGGGCTGAGGTCTGTATCTAGCAACAAGACCAGCATATTAATGATTTGGAGATGTAGCAAGGAATTTGAGTGTTTTACAAGTAGTGAATGATCCAAATGATCCTAGTAGAAAATTTTACTTTTCCTTTTGCCACGAAGGAGAAGTTTACGACTCTAAAGTGAATCTTTTAAAATTATTTTTAATTTCTTCTTTTTTATAGTTCATCTGATGAGGTCAGTGTTTCAGATGTGCCTGAAGACAAATGAACTGAACCGCTTACAGTTTGCAAAGCACTGCTGCTGGGACTCACTATTATGTAGAGGATTCAGGAAGAAGTGATTTGATTTGAAGGCTCAGTCCTCCACTTCCAAGTCAATACAAATTTGTCCATTGCTTTCAGTGAGAGCAGGATCAAGCCCAGATTCCTAAGGCGTCTTTCTAGGGTTTTAAAATTAGTTGTAATCTCGCTATCAACATCCTCATTCAATTTTCATGGTTGTATTCCCTTTCATACGCACACAGACGCATCCATATGCACAGGAAATCCTGTTTGGGGGTCCTGCCTGGAGTCTCCTTATGCCACTATTATTAGTGCAGTCAGTTGGTAACTTGTCTAAATCTGATCTGGGCATGTCCCCTCCTTTTCTTCCCCTCCGGCGGGTTGGTTTACAGTGCTCTGTCTCCCACTTCCAGCTGCTGTTTTCAGTTAGTTCAGCGGCAACGCGTTTCTCACCCTCGCTAATGTGATGCCTGTGAGCTGGAGTGAATTCACTCTACTGATCACTTGCCCAAAATAACAACGTCAGTCGAGCCTGTGTTTTAAGGTGGGTGCTATTTTGCTTTCCCCGTCGTCCTGGCCTCCCAGCACAACACTTATGACCTACAGACACTTTGTTTTAGTGACCACAGTGTTTAACTGGGGCTCTGAGGAGGCTCTGCAAAGCTGTCAGCCCATTAGAAGGGGAACAACGTCATGTGGACATTCACCATCAAGCTGTCAGCTCTTTAAAAAAGATTACAGACTAGCTGGTTCTCTTGTGGCTCAGTCTTAGAACTGAGGAAACCTTTTTTTGCCCAGAGATTCTTCTACTCACGGTGCATATTAGATGAACATCCTCATACAAGAAACAGCTTTGTAGGAAGTATAGTGCTTAAAAGTTCATATTCTTCAATGCCTTTAGTGTTACAGTAATTTTTAATCAAATATGCTCCATTTGCAAGTAGATTTCCCCCTGCCCCTCTTTCCTCTAGTTACTCTTGTTCCTCTTTCAAATTCTACATTGGTTTTACATTCCAAATTTGAAGCTGCCTGCAGACTGAACCTGATGCCCCATGGCTCCAGGGTCAATTTCTGCCCTCGTTTGGTGTGGGCTCCATTGCTTTCAGAAGTAATAGTTGTCTGTTTTTATTAGGTCTAAGCTCATGGCTTTCTTAGCCGTGTTGGCCTTTGCACAGACACAGAAAATATGATGTGGATAGAACATCTTACTGAACCTAGAAATTCTGACTCTCGGCCCATACCAGCCAAAATGTAAAACTGTCAGTAGTTATTTGGGGGTTTTCAACTGGACATCCTTACGGGGCCTGTCTGACAGTCAACAAAAGGGATTAGTTTATATGGTCATCTGTTGTGTCAAGGGATTTCAGTCAGTGACCTTAGAAGTCCTTTCTGGTCTTATGTACTGGATCTGAACCCCAAGAAACTGCCTTCAGAGTGATAATTGCTAAAAATTCCATTAATTCCTATTTAGAGGGAGTAGGTGTGTGGAGTGGAAGTGTACAAGCTTTACATGGTCACCTTCAAAAGTGGAATTGCCAGTGAAATCCTCGTGTTGCTTTTTTTGTTTTGTTTTTTTTTCCTGGGGCTGTTATGAATCTGTGCGCATCTTTCTTTAAATACGAAGCGTGATGCTGCCGTATCGGTGTGTCAGACACCCAAAATACCTGTCTGATGGGACATCGTTTTCTGCTTTTCTGGTAACATGAATGGCATGAAGTCTGAGAAGGTAAAAAGGAACTTTCCTTCCCTACCCATTGCACACAGAAGGTTGCTGCTCCTCAGTGTGTGGAGTCCTTAGGTGGCAGCAGGTGATTGCTGATGGGATATTCCGTCTTTCATCCCTGGGTCACTAGTTCAATCCATGTCAGGTCAGCAGCAGTGAAGTCCCTGCTGTCTGACTGATGTCGTTTGGCTTGAGATGAGCTGAAATGTGTGTCTGAATTTTGAACCCAGGCAACCGTATCGTTGTGTGTCTGTATCGTGGACTATAAATGCTATAAATTTAATGTCAATATCGTTAGGAAATTTAATTACCAGCAGGTTTTACATTTATCTACAGAGAACAGCATCTGATGTGAGCTGTCCTCAGGTTCCCTCTGGTGGCAGAGAGACGTGTGTGACTACAGGCACTGGAAGAGGTGTTTGCTGCCTTTAAACCTGTTTGAACACTGAGTTGTCATCCTCTCTGAGGAACCTCCGATTATTTAGGAGATGGGCAGTGCTCTGGGGTTTGCTGTGCCAGCCACCATCACACTTCTGGGCTTTACGTGAAAATTCTCTGTGATGCGTTGCTGTATGTGTCATCAGCTTGGAGATACCTTCTTTGCTCCAGAGAAAGAGAGAGTTTACTGCTGCAGACTGCATCTGGTGAGATTCACTCCTTATCAAAACACAGGATTGTAACAAAAACTGGGAAAGAAGACCAGAGTAAAGTGAGGTCTCTTTCCTGGTTGTCTCTATTATGCTGCAAAAAAAGGAAGGGGTCATCACGAAAATAATATGATTCAGGGAATTAGTAATGAAATAGTATTTTCTTTATAAATGCCATGCTTTCAGAATAAGAAAAAGTTCTTGCTTTTGTGTCTGTATTCAGCTGATGAGAAGGAGCTTTTGTTGGTTGCTGCTGAGAAAGAGGGGATGCTGCTGGAAGTCACTGACAGTGGGTGTTGTCACCCCTCAGGGCTGGCTGGTGCAGCAGGTGAGGCAGGAATCGAAGGCAGACTGGATTGTGTTCCTCTCAAGAGGTGGTCTTTCCAGGTCAAGTTAAAGTATCTTTGGATACTTGTTTTATCACTTAGGATGTTCAGGCTGTCACTGCCCACTGGGTAAACAGAGAGCTTAGGTTTCTGAATCTGGCCTCTGTCATCCTCACCTCTGTCATCCTCGCCCCTCCCCTGTCCCAAATATACATTTGAGATTTCAGGCATTCCCGGGGTGCAGCGGTTGCTGCACATATATTTACTTGGAGTAAAAACTTATTTTAGCTACTGCTAATACATCTTCTTTCTTCTTGAACCTTATTCTGTCGGTGACTGTCTGGTACATCAGACTACGGTAGATCCAGCATCTCCAGATGGGAGAAGGATCCAGAACATCCCATCCTTGCCCAGGCTGTTCTTAGAGCTGAATCTTGTGAAACATCTGACAAAACGCACACGTTTGGTCTTAACTGGTCACCCTGGAAAGAACTGAGCAAGATTTTAACTCTGTCTTGTCACTACGGGATAAGTATGTTTTTGATGAAGCTAGAGATCAAAACAATAGCCTTTTAGTCCCTTGTATACACTCCTGGCTTCTCTCTGAGTCTGCTTGTTTCTGCACAAGCACTTTAGCTGATGTTGCTTGATCAAGGCTCGTATTTAAGCAAAAAAGTCATCCTTACACTGGAATAAGAGTGTACACAAACACTATGGAAGGCTTCATCTTCAAATGAAATTTAGTAAGTGCTTTTTAAACAGATAGTTGCACTGGTTACAGAGTGGAGTTAGCAAGAGAGGGATAACGCTGGTACCACTGTACTTGCTGTAGCTATTTGAGGCTATGGATGAGCTGCAGGAATACTTCAAGCCATGGACATCTTCACGGGAGGAAGGGCCACAGGTTTGAGATGGATGGGAGCCATAATGCGTCTCAGCCAGGTCTGGGATGTGGAAAATACGGGAGACTGAAGCAGAGGTGCATTATTCCTGCTCTGCAATTTGGGCGTGGGTAGTGTGACGTGGTCTCCATATTGTATAGCATTTCAGGATCCTGGGTAAGAGGCACAGCAGTTTCACATCCTGATTTTGTCCAAAATGAGCAGAATTTTGTTGGCCGCTTCCCAGACTGCGATGCCTGCAACAGTGCGCCGCTTGGAGAGGGGCCAAATGATCTGTGAGTGGGGATGAGATTAAGATGGAAATGTTGGGCTTCAGAACATCCTCTTGCAGATTTCGGTTTAGATCAGGATTTCACAAACATTTCTAGGCAGAAGGAACTACCAACAGTGGCAACTTGCAGGCTGATGCCAGGCAAGCCACGCTTCAGAGTGCTACCCCTGCCACAATTTAGGAACCTTGGTCTCGGGACAGACTCCTAACATTCCCTGTCTTGTTTTCCAGATCTAGAGACAAACAGTGATCTCAACAGTGACGACTTTGAATATGAAGATGAAGCAAAACTCGTTATATTTCCTGATCACTACGAAATCCCATTACCCAATATAGAAGAGTTACCAGCGCTGGTCAGTGAGTGTGTGCAAGTGGTGACAGGAATTCTCTCCTGCTTCAGTTTTTATCAAGATAGTGCTCTGTTTTCTTAGGCGTGATCTTATTTTTACATAAAGATCTCTCTTAACTAAAGATCTTTCTAGCTGTAATAGACAGTTGTATTTAAAAGTCTGCTTTGTCTTTGTTTCTTATATTTCCTTTTACCTCCTCTATTCCTTCCCTTATTATGATGCCAGCTTGTCCCAGGGAAGCTCACATAGTACATGTTGTGCTGACTTCCCTGCTAAAATAATAACAACTGCAGTCTGGAAGATTACATGCATATTTAAGTATATAAATAGTCTTACTGATATCCAGTTCTGTACGTGGTTAGCAATGGGCTGAATGCCAGGTTCTGCCCAGTCACTGAATGGTGTTAGGTTTTGATTGACATTCATTTGTCTTCCAGGTGACGATAGCTTGTGATGCGCTCCTCAGCGCAAAGTCACCCTACAGGAAGCAGGACCCCGACTCCTGGGAGGAAGAGCTACAGGCATCCAAACACGCCAAAACGCTTGTACAGTTAGACAATGGTGTTAGGATCCCCCCCAGGTGAGGGTAACAAGGCTTGTTCATTGTAGGCTCTCTAATATAATCCAGTAACAGAACTAAAGCCAGCAACTCAGCCACTAATACCCTTGCATGACTCTGGGCTGGGTGTGTGTGTGTTTGCTTTGACCTACCATAACTGGAATTACAGGACTGGTCCTACAGAATCACAGAATCTTCTAGGTTGGAAGGGACCTTAAAGATCATCTTGTCCAACCGTCAACCTGACTGACAAAAATAGACACCCACACAACAAACAAGGAGCATCATCACTAAACCATACCTCCCAGCACTACATCAACCCGTCTTTTGAACACCTCCAGGGATGGTGCCTCAACCACCTCCCTGGGCAGCCCATTCCAATGGCTGAGAACCCTTTCAGTGAAAAAAATTTTCCTAATATCCAGCCTGAACCTCCCCTGGCGCAACTACCTTACTTATTTCTCTTCTTTCTTCCTGTTTTCTCTTGCAGCGGTTGGAAATGCTCCAAATGTGACCTGAGGGAGAATCTGTGGCTAAACCTGACGGACGGCTCAGTGCTGTGTGGGAAGTGGTTCTTCGACGGCAGCGGGGGCAACGGGCACGCCGTGGAGCACTACAAGGAGACGGGGTATCCCCTGGCAGTGAAGCTGGGAACCATCACTCCTGATGGAGCAGGTCAGCCACCTGGCAGGCCCTGAGATGGGCCATCTCCTATGCATCAAACCAATCAGTGTTTATCTGTCACCAAATGGATTTGTGCTTCTAGTGCAAATGTTTGAGAAACCGATGTGGAAAGAAAACCCTGTCAGTCTGCAAATCTTGATTGGGGCTGGGGGAAGGACACACACTCCGTTTGGAGAAACACCTTGCCTTTTTTATCTGGTCGTCTTCTCCTGTCTTATATTTGGTGTAAATATTTTTTTGAGTTTTATAATAGTAAATTTATAATAGAAGAATAGAACAGATTATTTTGAAACAGCAGAATACAGTGGTATTTTTCAGTTCTGCTACCTTTGTAGGGCAAGTGGTTCAATCTTATGTAATGGAGACACAATAATGATTTTTAAAGTCAGAAAAGTCTGTTCTTATCAGCATGTGTGGGTTTTTTATCATTCTGGAAACCATGCTATTTTTCCTTACTGTGTTGGTAACATTTTGTTCAGTCTAATGAATGCTCATCTTCATGGGGCTGCTGTGATGCTCGTTTGTAAAATGCTTGATGATCTTGAGAGGGGGAAAAAAGCTGTAGCTGTATCCTTGTTTGCATATTCTCTGAGCGTGACATTCTGCAGTGTTGCTGTGGAGAGGATTATGGGGTGTGAGGATTAGATGGAGTAAAAACATGAGAAGCTGACAAAGTCATAAGCAAAGAGATCTTTGGCTGCAGCTGTACAAAGAAATAAAAACTGGAAGAACACATAGCATCATTATATTTTTGGTTTTATTGCTTATGACCACACGGATGAAAAATAGCTGTTTAGAGCAGCCCCTTTCTTTAACACCCATCAGTTGAGAGCTTTTCATCTTGAAGTACTATTCAGTGTCAGGGAAAGGAGACTGTAGTCAGATCCAACCACCTGTGCCACAGAAACCCTAAGCAAAATTCATTCTTTTCTTTGCCAGATGGAATATTGTTTCCTTGCATGAGCCTGGTCGTGGATGATTTCTATCCAAGGCTCTCAATTATTGAAGTTTTTTAGGATTTTCCCAGCTATAGGTTTCAAATGCATCTAAAAAATAACCAGAATATTCTTTAGTGTGTTTTTTCAATATTTTTTCTTATTTCCTTTCTCATCTTTAGCAGCTGTACTTGTTTCCTTATGGCTGCTGTCCTTTTCCGATCAGCTGCTACTTCTCTTAGGTGGCCTTTGGGATGACAAAGGACAGGCTGTCATCCTTCCCTCTGCATGAGGGGCACCAGCTGTCCCCCACAGGCCTTTGTTCTTCTGGGTGAAGTTTATTTGGTTTGCTGATTGCTTATCCCTTTTTCCCCACCAGTAAGAAGGAGAAAGAGGTGGTGCCAGAATTCCACTTACACTTAGGCTGCGCACACAGAGGGAGCAGAGGAGAGCTCCTTGTCCTCTAGTGAGAAATCTGTGTTGTATACATTATGAAAGATTTTTGGGGCATTAGCCCCATTTTGTAGCATTCTGTCAACAAACAGATCTGGGATCAGGGCAGAAATTGAACCAAACTTCTGTCTTCCACTCTCGGACAGGATGCACAAGAGTCAGAAAAGCTGCTTGCTTCAATAGGCTGAGTGCTCCTCAGCAGCCTGTGCTACCTGCTGCCTCTCTTTGTTTAGTAATATTCTGTCTTGTCTGCCTCAGATTTTTCTTGGTTTTTTTTCTTTTTATTCCACCCTTTCCCCCCCCTTCTCACTCTAATGATACCAGCTTCTGTGTGTCACATTTGCTGACTTGTCGACATCCCCTATCTACCAGAGTCCATATGACAGCACTGCACACCTGTGTTTGGGGCTCTCATCTTCTTTCTTTCATTTGCTGCTCTTTGATTTTTTTGAAATAAGTGAATCCCATGAATTTAAGTTGGCTGCACAGCAGAAAGAACTAAAATGTATGACATGAGCTGGGCTTGAGCAAAAGATTAATGTGTCTTGTGTTCCATTTCTGCTGCTCTGGGACAGCACTCCCAGGTGGCTGCTCTTTCTTCACTTCCTAGAGCTGAGAAAACCAAAATCAAAGCTTCCACAGTGAAGGTAGTCACCCAAGATGAGTTTGATGTGTAATCTCACTCCAGTAGGTGTTTGAACTTTACAGGATCTTTTGGCTGGGCTGTGACCTCATCAGAAGACTATGGGAGTGTTGTGATCTCGTGCATGTGGATGAACAGTCGTGTTTTCTGGGCGTGCTTGCTACCACACGGTGGAATTCCAGCAGATGGGCAGCCACAGTCACACACATGCCAGAGAGGTCATGAGGACCTACGTTAATAGGGGCTCTGATGGCTAATCAGCAGCTGGCACCACGACTCAAAAGCACAATTCCCTGATTTGAGGGAGATATTTTTTCATAGGGCTGAAATTTAAAAGTTGCATTAGGTCTTTGAGTTCTTGGCTACTCTTCAACCTATTGATAGGCCCTTCCAACCTAAACGATTCTATGATCTAAACACTAAAAATGAGGTTTTTTCTCACAACCATTTTGTCCTCTTGAATTTATTAAACTTGGTTTCATAATGAAAATATCATCATATTGCTTCCCTTTGCATTTTGAACTTTGCTCTGCCAAAAGATTTATGGGCTTTTTACTGAAGGCCACAAGGACCTATCATAGAGCTAGAACTGGAGTCTGGATCTCCCATGCAATCAAGCAAGACACTTCAGGCATGAAATCAGCCTTTCTCCTTAATCACAAGATTAATCTTCGAAGTGCAATCCAGGGGTGTTCAATGCAATAAACAGGTCTTCATTTCTAATAAAAAATTTCTTAGTTCTCCCTGCACGTCTGTGGGAAAAGGGCATAAATGGATTCCTTAAACTGTGCTAGAAATTAAAACACCATTGGCGGTGGTCAGTTGGCCCCGTATGCCCACAGTTTTCATGCATCTGCCTGTATCTAGTAGCTCCACAAAAATTCAGAATCTCTTGCTGCCATGTTCAAAACATGGACTGGCCACATAGCTGAGAATCGGCATGTTTTACCTACAAATTTCTGATTTTTTTTGGGGGGGAAGTACCTCTCTTGTTGCCATGTTGAAAACATGGACTGGCCACGTCGCTGAGAATCTGGCATGTTTTGCCTACAAATTTCTGATTTTGGGGGCGGGGGGGAAGTACTATGATCACTATAAATATTCTTAAGTTTTAATACTGGGAGAGCATGTGATTTCTTCTGAGGAGAATAGTTGAGGTGATTGTGTTGAGAACATTCAAGACATTTACTGAGCCCTATGGATGTCTATGCGTGTTTCTGTTGGTCCTAACTAAACTTAGAGAATATGAATAAGGCATCTTGTATAGGCGGTCCTGTGCTGAGAGTGCAGTGTTGGTAAACAAAGACAAGGGGTAATATTTGATCCTGCAGCTCATCTGTTTCTCTCTGCTTTTGCAGATGTCTATTCCTTTGATGAGGAGGAGCCAGTTTTAGATCCGCATATAGCAAAACATTTGGCACACTTTGGAATTGATATGCTGCAGATGCAAGTGGTAGGAAATCCATAATTTACTTAGTTTGTTGTGTACTTGTTGTTTGTTTAGTTGGGGGTGGGAGAGAAACAGGAGAAGAATTATACTTGTAGCTTATATTTGTGTGATTCCTTCAGACTCTTATAATAGTATTTAGTTTTGTTCAGTTGAGCCAGCCAGTTCGTGTTTTATTTTCTGAGGTCTGAGATGACTGAATCATTACTCCCAAATCTAAAAATTCCCTTCCAAAAGAGCTCCATTGTAGTCCTTAGCTTACACATTTCACTTCTCATGTGTTGTATACCATTTTCCTTCAAGCTG